AGTATTTAAACTTTGCGAGACCTTCTTTCATTACTTCCATTTCGCACAACTTATTTTAATAAATTGTATGTGCCACAGCCTTTATTGCATCCTTTAGTGTGATCTACTTTTACGCGTTCATAGATGTTTTCCAGCTTGTCAGGCTCTTCGGATCTTTCTATTTTTTAATCCGCCGACCGTTGAATGCAATATATAATTTCATTGTCCGTTCGCATATTCACGGTGTTCATGCATTCGAATGTCGGTGTTCTTACCTCAATGCCTAGTTTACTGGATAAAAGCATGCTATTCGAAATAGACAATGTTACAGCCGGCCACCTTGTTTTAGTGCTAGGTGAAAGGTTGTTAAGCGTTTCACACTTAGACGATTTATGTTGCATGATAGACTTAAGCTCAGCACGGATTCGTCGGGCTCACTGGACTTATTAACACAAACCAGCGATCACAATTTCAAGGCCAGTTTACCAATCCCTTAAAACCTTTTCCCAAACGGTATGTAAGGTACACCAATATGAATTTATTAAAGGATTTCCTCGAACCCAGCCTCCTCTTCGGGCCTAGCTATGTCTTCTATTCTGGACTACTATCACAGAGGGTTTGTATCCATTATTTGGCAGTTTAACCAACAAATTACTAGTAAAGACCCACACTTGTACATGAACATCTTGTTTGTTCTCATCTTATTTTCATTCTGAACTGCCTTGGAGTTGTCATGTATTTCCCGATGAATCATCAAATATTGATGCTCTTCCAGGCAATTTAGACACGTCTTCTAGTCCCCCTTGTTATTTCGAGGATTTCTGCGATTGATCTTAAACCATTTCGCCATTGCTATCTTGCCTGCCAATATGATCATGAAACCTGCCTTTCGGATGTCATATTCAGCCAAGCCTTAGATTATTGCCACGCTGAAGTCCATAATTTCCTCTAGAATTGTAGTTTATCACTTGTAATTTTGGGATTCTGCATGATAAATCTTATCTTTACTCGCATAGGGGACCTAACTCATTACATTCTTGCCCTGCTTTATGGCCGCAACCTTTTACCATTTACATACAGCACCTTAGCTACAATATTCTCGGGCGTTGTTGGGAGATACGCGTACACATATCTTAGTTAATATGTCTAAATATATGCATGTGCCTGCACGCTATGGTTGTGTTTATGCATTGCTCAGTCTCCCTTTTGTTTCTCCTGCATTCACCTATATTTGCGAGGTAGTTGGCTTTGGGGTCCGTGGTTCCATTGTATGATTTGCGTCCAGGGTAGGATTCCTTGCTGTGCAAGAATGTGGCGATTTCACTTAGTCGTTCACCGGAGAGATCATAACCTGATTGTTTATACTATCCAGGGAAGGATTCCTCTATTGCAATTCTTGTCTCTTTCCTCGTTGAGGAAATAGGGGTTTATTTCCGGACATTTATGCTTGCCCCTTAATAACATTTGTGTAGTCCTGATGTCGCCACTCCGTATCTCCTACTCTCCCTATAGGTGTCAAGAGAACAGGACTGGTTGAGTGGGAATTGGCAACGCTAAGCGAAGCTGTTCTCCACGGCGTCGTGGCAGGATGGGCCATCTGGCCTTCGGCTGGTTTTCTGCCGCATCAATCGCGCCAATGGCTTAGATTTACTCTCCTGCTTCGGTATCCACCCTCTTTTACTAGCTGACCTTAACCTTCTGCCTCCTTCTGCTGAGGCATAATGCAATTTCAGTTTACAAGCCCCATTTTGTCAATGTGTGCCTTATGTACAGGGCCCAAGTATTGGATTCGACAAGGTCGTAGGTACATGTGGCTTTAGGTGCAATAGTTCACAATCCACCTGCCTGAGAGTTACCTTTTGCATCCGATTGACTAGGCTTATGCTTATTTATTAAGTAAATGTCTGGATTTTAACTTTCATCTGGATTTTTGGGGCACTCTTTAACCCGTCTCGCTTCTACGGGCACCTGAGTTTATTTTATGTGTCCGAACATTGCAGTGAATTTGCACGTTGCATCACCAACACTTATTTATTCCAACGAAAATGTAGCGGCCTACTTAACTACAGGATTACCTCAGTTAGGTTCATGTTTGAATTAATCCAATTTCTTGGGCTTACAAGCTTTTAGCAGATCTCAACATTGCAATTTTGCTTTGTGCTGTTTCAAAGGATTGACTGTTGAAGCATGATCCATTT